AAATATCAGCTGCTCATAGGTGGATGAATTTATGTCTGGATTCTCAATTCTGTTCCATTGGTCTATGTATCTGTTGTTGTACCAGTACCAGGCTGTTTGGACTACTGTGGCGATATAAGTTCTAAAATCAGGTAGTGTGAGGCCTCCCGCTTTCTTCTTCTTCTTGAGTAATGCTTTACTTATTCAGGGCCTCTTCCCTTTCCCATACGAAGTTGGTGATTTGTTTCTCCATCTCATTAAAAAATGCCGGTGGAATTTGGATTGAGATTGCGTTGTATCTGTAGATTGCTTTGGGTAGAATTAACATATTCACAATGTTGAGTCTACCTATCCATGAGCAAGGTATGTTTTTCCACTTATGCAGATCTCTTTTGGTTTCTTGCAGTAGTGTCTTGTAGTTTTCATTGTATACGTTTTTTATGTCTCTGGTTAGAATTATTCCTAAGTATCTTATCTTCTTGGGGGCTATTGTAAATGGTATTGATTTGGTGATTTCATCTTCGAGGTCCTCTTCGTTGGTGTAAAGGAATCCAACTGATTTTTATGCGTTTATCTTGTATCCTGAAACTTTGCTGAAATCTTCTATTAGTTCCAGTAGTTTTCTTGTGGATTCTTTGGGGGTTTTCTGTGTATAAGATCATATTATCTGCACATAGAGGTACTTTGACTTCTTCCCTACCAATTTGGATGCCTTTATTTCTTTTTCTAGCCTAATTGCTCTGGCTAGGACCTCCAGCACAATGTTGAATAAGAATGGTGATAAAGGGCATCCTTTGTCCATATTGTTTTGTGTAACACTAGTTTCCTTATTCTCATTGCTGTATAGTGTTTCTTTATAGGAATGTATCACAACTTATCCATTTTATTGCTGATGCACATTGGGTGATTTCTAGCTTTTGGCAGTGGTGAATAGCACAGCTGCGGACATTCTTGTACATAGCTTTCTGTCATGTTACTCACATTGTTGTTGTTGTTAGTTGCCGCCGAGTCAGCTCTGACTCGTGCTGACCCCATGTGTGCAGAGTAGAACTGCTCCATAGGGTTTTCAAGGGGGTGACCTTTCGGAAGCAGATTTCCAGGCTGTCTTGGTGGCGCCTCTGGCTATGTTTGCACCGCTAACTTTTCAGTTAGTAGTTGAGCCTTAACTGCTTACACCACCCAGGGGCTTAACGTACTGGAATGAATTTCTTTTACATCCTCAGGAGGTTTCAAATGTTCAGCCTAATAGACCCCACCACCAGTTTTCCAGGTGGTTGTACCCAGATAGGAGCCCTGGTGGTACAGTAGTTAAGAGCTCGACTGCTAACCAAAAGGTCGACATTCCAAATCCACCAGCTGCTGCTTGGAAACCCTATGGGGCAGTTCTCTGTTCTATAGGGTCGCTATGAGTTGGAATTGACTCCATGGCTATGGGTTTTGTTTTTTGTTTTGGTATCTAGATATGTCCCTGTTGGCAATATATGAAATTTTCAACACTTGTAGTACTTGGTATGGTAGGTATGACCCATTTAAACCATATGGATAGTGACTGCAGTGAGGTTTTAATTTACATTTCCAAGATGGCAAATGACGTTGAGCAGGTTTTCAAGTGTTTACTAGCCATTTGCATATCCTCTTTTTGTGAAATGACTGTTTAAGGCTTTGCTCATGTTGGAGGTGAAGTAACCACATCCTGTTAGTGTAGCTGAATTTCCCTGTGTCCTTTCCCTTCTTTGGGACTAGGTTCCTGAAGTCATGTTTAGAGAACTCTTTAAGACTCCTGGGACCATATGTCGGTCTAATTTCTCTAGTCAAAAATATGTACAAAGTCCTTGGTGCAGAAGCAGAGGGCTTCTAAGGATTCTCTATAGCCCTTGATGTGGTCTGTGTTGAAGTACTGATAGGTAATCAGAGACCCAGTCTATGTTCCACTCTCCAGCTAGCTCAAGGACATCCTTCAAGGTTCACAACATAAATATTACCTTATAGTATTATCATTCTCATAGTGGAGAAAGTGAGAAAACCCATGTGAACGTACTTTCAGAAATGGGTTGAAGAACTAATGGCTGCCGTTATTGTGATGACTGCTGTAACTTGTCTTCAGACTGCGTTCGCCAGATAATGATGTCAACAGAGGATAAGGATAATTTTCAACTACATATATGACATTGTCACTGACCGCTGAACTGAGACTGCAAAGTGGGAGCTACTGCCCCCTTAAATGCAACCTGAGATAACCTCTACATTGTGTCTGGATTTACCACTTAGGGCTGGGCTCATTACACATTTTAACCACAAGGGGGCGCTCAAAACTCTTCCTTTCACCCCATTTTCCATTTTAAGGCGTTTGGTTCTGTGTGGGAAGCGCAAAGGGAGAGCTTTTCTTATTACAGCCATCTTTTCCCACATTGAAGAAGCATAGTATCTGAACTCAGGCATCGTGGTGTCAAAGTCCTGCTACTTAACTAGCTAGCTGTGCTGTTTGGGGCAAGTCACTAAAACTCTCTGTGACTTAGTTTCCTCTTCTGGCAAAGGGACATAATACTAGCTCCTACCTCAGCCAGCTGTTAGGACAAAATTAGGTTATGTGCGTTAAGTGCATAGAATTAGGCCTTGCGCTTAGCAACTTCTTGATAAATGTTGAGCATTGTTACTATTTTTCTCTTCTGTTTGGTCGGGGCAGGAGAGCTTGCCAATTTTTGGACAGTCTAAGTGTGATTAGGAACTTGGGATTAGGTATAGATTCCATGAGCGAGACCATAAGGTGGAGCTTTACTATAAATCTTGAGCTAAAGAGGCGAAAGGAGACTGCCTGGATCACACCGGCTAATCTCAACTCTCCAGAGTGAGATGTTCAATAAGGATCTGTGGCCAAGGTGGAATCGGCATTAGCCTTGGAAGACTTTCATGTTCAGGGACTAGTCACCTGGCCAGAGATTCACGAATTTAAGATTCAGGTCCTATAAATTTCTCTTACCATGAGAACAAACATTATCAGGCATATCTTGGGACAACCAAGAGTATTATTGGGCTACAGAAAGCTAGAGAGAGCAGAGATACTGATAGCGGAAATGAGCGTATTTTCTTTAATGGATCCATCTTCACATTGGACCCAGCAAGGATCTGAGGACCATGCAGGTATCCTAGAGGGCCTTCACTGACTCATTATAATGACTTAGAATCCTGTAGTCAGGAGTCCCAGGTGGACCTGTAGCCTTACTTGACAGTTCTTGTTTTTTAGGATAACTTTGAAATTGGTACTTTGCTTTAGGGACACAGCAAAATTTCTTTCCCCCACATGTTCCTCTCTTCTTCTCATCTTCTTTGCAAGTCCGCCTGCATCTGCCAATTCTTCGGTAGCACTTTTTGACCCATCCATCTATCAAAATAAACAAAGAGATGAATAAATAAATAGATGAAAAAGAGTAAAGACTACTATACTGCCTTAGTTTCCTAGGGCCGTCATAACAGAATACCACAAAGTGAGTGACTTTTAAAAACAGAAATTTATTGTCTCGTAGTTCTGGAGGCTAGAGGTCTGAATTCAAGGGGCAGGCAGTGCCATGATCTCTTTCTGTTGGCTCCAGGGGAAGACTTGTTTCTTTCAGTTTCATGGTAACCCCAGGCATATCTTGGTGTGCATTGGCTTGTAGATGGATCCTTACATGGTGTCTTTTACTTGTGTGATTGACTCTTTTATCGAGTCTGTTTTTCCCTTTTGTAAGGCACCAGTCAGGAAGTTTTAGGATCCACACTGCTTGGGCATGACCTTGTTAACCTAACTGATAACATCTGCAAAGTAAAACCCTATTTCCTCAAGCAAGGTCACACTCACAGGTATAGGTGTAAGGATTTCAAAATACCTTTGGGGGAAACAATTGAATACATAAACTAGAGTAAAAACTATTACACTAAGAATGTTGGTAATCTGTAATAATGGTCAGAGTGAACATTTGTCTTGAAACTTCAGCATTCTTGGGAAGATTAAATAAATCTATGTGGGTAGAATGCCCACTGCTAGTCTTGACATGTAATAGATACAAGTAATTATCTCATTTCCTCCAACTAGCTTATTGGAGTTTATTCCTGTAGTTATGATGTCTCCATCTCTGTCATTTTTCACAGTCTCACCAGCTCTAGTTCCTCCTTTTCCCTAAATCTAGGTGCTTGCCAAGGAGCAAGCCTAAGCCTTCAATTACCTATCTTTTCTCTATTTTCTTTATTCATTCAACAGCTGTTTATCGAGCACCTACGATGTGCCAGGCACTGTTCTAGGTGCCTGTAACAAAGCAATGAACAAAGCAGACAGAGATCCCTGGCCTTGTGGGTTGACATACAATAAACAAGAAGCAAAATAAATAAGTAACTTGATAGTATTACAGAAGATAAGAAGTCCAATGGATAACATAAAAAGTATAATATGGTAAGGGAGCATCCAGAATGCCATAGCCAAAGGGGGAAAGGTTGCAATTAGTGGTCAAGATAGGATTCATTGAGAAGGTGACTTTGCAAGCGTAGACTTGAATGTAGTAGCAAGAAAGTGAACCAAGCAGATATCGGGAGGGAAAGTCTTCCAGGCAAAGAGATTAGGCAGTGTAAAGGCCCTGAAATAGGAGCAACAAGGTAAGTGTAGCTGGAGAGGAGTGAATGAGGGGAGAGAGTGTAGGAGTGAGGTTGGAGAGGTAACAAGGAGTCAGAACATGCAAGACTTTATAAACCAGTGTAAAGATTTGCACTTTTACTCATTGAAGGATTGTGAGCCCAGCATATAACTTACATTTTAAAGTTCTGGTTGCTCTCTTGAAGATTGACTGTGGAGGGGGCAAGGCAGAAATAGGATTACCTCAATAAGAGGACGGGGAAGACACCCAGTCATCCAGGCAGGAGATGATTACAGCTTGAACCAGGGTAATACAAGTGTAGGTGGAGAAATGTGGCTAGATTCTGAATGTATTTTCAGGTTAGAGACAAAATGATTTCCTGATCATTTTACTTAGGATGTGAAAGAAAAGGAGGAGTCAAGATTTTTGGCCTGAGCCAAAGGGTGGACTTGATGCTAAGTAAAGTGAGGAGAGTTGTGCATGGAGCAGGTTTGTGGTGCAATATCAGGATTTCTTTTCTGAAAATTTTGAGGTTGATATGTCTATTATTCATACAAGTGAAGATGTATATAAAGTGAATGGATGTGTGAGTCTGTAAGATCTAAAACGGAGATAGAAATGTGTATATGGTCATCAAGGCTGTGAAATTGTATGAGATGACCAAAGGAATATGTCCAAGGCCATTTATAAGTCAGAGACAAGAGCAGAGAATGGGTCAAGAATACTGAGAATGAGCAACCAATGATGATATGGCAATAAAAACAGTACAGTAAATTGATGTGAAAGCAATGTGAAGAAGCAATGGAAGCAATGAGGATAAGGTGATCAGCTGTGTGAAATGCTGCCAAGTAGGATGAGAACTGATAACTGGCCATTGTATTTAGCAGAGTCAAGAACAGTTTCGGTGGAACGGTGGGAGTGGAAGCCTGATTGGAATGGGTTGAAGAGAGACAGGAGAGAGACAGAGCAAGAAATTCAAGAGCTCAGCTGCAAAAGGAAGTAAAAGAAAAAAAAAAAGTTGATACATGGGTTGGGGGGAGAGTAGGACCAACACTGCTTATTTAGCCAACATTAAATGAGTCCTTATATGTGTCAGGCAGAGTCGCTGGGTGGCACAAACCGTTTGCGCTCAACTACTAGCCAAAATGTTGGCAGTTCGAACCCACCCAGTGGCACCTCAGAAGAAAAGGCACAGCGATTTGCTTCTGAAAGGTCACAGCCTTGAAAATTCTATGGAGCAGTGCTACTCTGCACACATGGAGTTGCAATGAGTTGGATTTGGCTCAATGACAAGTAACAACAAAAACAACAGGAGAACATAGAAGTGGAAGACCTTGTGTGACCTAGGATGGTTAGAGAAAGCTTTACAATTGAGCTGAAATATGAAGGATGAATGAGAATAAATAAATCAGGGAAAGAAAGGATGAAAGAAAAGATCAAGCATAAGTGATAACATATATATTGGCCCAGTGGGAAGAAAAAGAAAGGTGACAAGGGACAAAAGTAAGACAACAAAAGCCAGACTGTGATTACTAAGGGTAAGCTGTAAATTGAGGCTGAGGATACATAATGGACCAGATCAGATGGGACCAGACCAGTGAAGATTTTAAATTTTATATTAAAAGCAAAAGAAGATTGTTTAGAGGTTGTAAGCTTGTAAGGTTGTATGTATGTGTGTTTGTGTACGTTTGTGTTTTAAATGATCATATTTGTGATTTAAAAAAATAATTGACAAAGTAAACAATTCTATTAAGAAACCCGCAAGAGAAAAGGATGTTTGTGGTAAAGAATATAACTTATATAATTTGACAAAAATAACAACAACAACAACAACAACAACAAAACGAGTACATGTAAGTGTTGTTGTTGTTGGTAGGTGCTCTGGAGTCAGTTCCAACTCATAGTGACCCTAGGTACAACAGAATGAAACACTGCCCAGGCCTGCACCATCCTCACAATTGTTGCTATGTTTCAGCCCATTGTTGCAGCCACCATAACAATCCACCTGTTGAGGGTCTTCCTCTTCCTCACCAAACCTCCTCTCCACCAAACACAATGTCCCTTTCCAGGGAATGGTCCCTCCTGATAATGTATTCAAAATATGTGAGATGAAGTCTTGCCATCCTCACTTCTAAGAAGCATTCTGGCTATACTTCTTCCAAGACAGATTTGTTCATTCTTCTGGCAGTCCATGGTATAGTCAATATTCTTCACCAACACCATAATTCAAAGGCATCCATTCTTCTTCAGTCTTCCTTATTCATTGTCGAGCTTTCACAAGCATATGAGATTGAAAATACCATGACTTGGGTCGGGGCACCTTAGTCCTCAAAGAGACATCTTTGCTTTTTAATACTTGAAAGAGGTTTTTGCAGTATATTTGCCCAATGCCATACCATACATCCTTTGATTTCTGAACTGCTGCTTCCATGGGCGTTGACTGTGGATCCAAGTAAAACGAAATCCTTGACAACTTTAATCTTTTGTCCATTTATCATGATGTTGCTTATTGGTCCAGTTGTGAGGATTTTTGTTTTCTTTATGTTGAGGTGTAATCCATACTGAAGGCTGTAGTCTTTGATCTTCATCAGTAAGTACTTCAAGTCCTCTTCACTTTCAGCAAGCAAAGTTGTGTCATCTGCATATCACAGGTTGTTAATGAGTTTTTCTCTAATCTTGATGCCAAGTTCTTCTTCATATAGTCTGGCTTCTAGGATTATTTGCTCAGCATACAGACTGAATAAGTATGGTGAAAGGATACAACCCTGATGCACACCTTTTCTGATTTTAAACTACCCAGTGTGCCCTTCTTCTGTTCCAATGACTGCCTCTTGATCTATGTGTAGGTTCCACATGAGCACAATTAAGTGTTCTAGAATTCCCATTCTTCGAAATGTTATTCATAATATGTTATGATCCACGCGGTCGAATGCCTTTGCATAGTTAATAAAACACAGGTAAATATATTTCTGGTATTCTTTGCTTTCAGCCAAGATCCATCTGACATCAGCAATGATATGCCCTGTTCCATATCCTCTTTTGAATCCAGCTTGAATTTCTGGCAAATCCCTGTCAATGTACTGCTGCAACTCTTTTGAATGATCTTCAGCAAAATTTAACTTGCATACGATATTAATAATATTGTTCCATAATTTCCGTATTCTGTTGGATCTCCTTTCTTTGGAGTGGGCACAAATATGGATCTCTTCCAGTCGGTTGGCCAGGTAGCTGGCCAGGTAGCTGTCTTCCAAATTTCTTGGCACAGATGAATGAGCACCTCCCACATTGCATTGGTTTGTTGAAACATTTCAATTGGTATTCTGTCAATTCCTGAAGCCTTGCTTTTCTCCAGTGCCTTCAGAGCAGCTTGGGCTTCTTCCTTTGGTATCATCAGTTCTTGATCATATGCTATCTCATGAAATGATTGAACATCAGTCAATTCTTTTTGGTACAGTGACTCTGTATAATCCTTCCATCTTCTTTTGATGCTTCCTGTGTCATTCTATAGTTTGTCCATAGAATTCTTCACTATTGCAAATCGAGGCTTAAATTTTTTCTTCAGTTTTTTCAGCTTGAGAAATGCCGAGCATGTATAGGCATATATGTGGTATGGGAAGGTACAGGTGAGTACATATGGGTGCACAGATAGAAGTACCTATATGTGTGTGTACATACACACATACATATTCATAGAGTACACAGTTACAAATACTTCTCAGACACTAAACACCTTGCCAGAATGGTTTTTTGGGTTTGAAGGCTTAGGACTTTAGTCTCATGGTACAACCCAGTCAACTGACATCACAAAGTTCATTTTCTGCATTCTAGTGAGGTGAGTAGTGTCTGGGGTCTTAAAAGCTTGTAAGCAGCCATCTAAGATGCAAGTATTCGTCTCTACTCATCAGGAGCAAAAGAGAAAGAAAGAAGCCAAAGTCTCAGAGAAGAAACTAGTCTACAAGGCTGATAGCCTACACGAGCCACAGCCTCATCTACCCTGAGACCAGAAGAACTAGATGGTGCCCAGCTACCACTACTGACCATTCTAATCAGGGCCACAATAGATGGACCCTCATAGAAAGGGAGAAAAATGCAGAACAGAATTCAGATTCTTAAAAGTCCAGACTTACTGGACCAGCTGAGACTAGAGGACTTCCTGAAACTATTGCCCTGCGATACTCATTAAACCTTGAACCAAAAATATCCCATGAGGTCACCTTTTAACAAAATAACAGATTGGCACACAAAATAAAGGATATTATCCATTAGTAAGGTGCTCCACTAAAAATCATCTGTATGCGACCAAAAGATCAACAATTACTCTAAAGCAAAGATGACAAGATAAGGGAGCAGGGTAGCTAAAGTACTGGCAATGGAACAACCAGAACACAATTAAAGAGAACGTTGATCCATTGTGAAAAACGTAACTAATGTCACTGAACAATTTGTGTAGAAACTGTCAAAAGGGAACATAATTTGCTGTGTAAACTTACACCAGTAACACAATAAAATATCATTTTTTTAAAAAGAAAAAATAAATAAATAACTGAAAATCTTAGAACTGATGGGGGCCAGAGAAGATAAAGGTAGACAAGGAGGGAGACCACTGCAGGGTTCAGTTGAGAGATGGTAGTATCTTGGTTTAAATTACAGACCCCTTCCACTTATCTTTTCTCCAAACTTGCCTCCTGGGGGATTATTCCCAATTTTCTCTTCTCACCAGGACTTTTAGACAGTAAACATAAGGGTCATAGTGACTCTTCCTTTTCTATCCCAATATTCCATGAGTCACTATGCGGACTCTTTTCTTCAAAAGTTCTCTCACATCTGCCACTCTCTCTTCTATTCCAGCTGCCCTTCGGACATGCTGAAACCTCATCAGAGTTAGCCTAGGATTACCCTCTTTTGCTCCAAGAATGACAATTGAATGTTTAGCAAAGACTTTCAGCTTGAAAAGCTGATCCAAAAGAGGATCTCACTTGCAACAGCAAAGACCCAAGAGGAAATCATGGAATTAAAAATCGTAAACTTTAATTAGACAGGCCCATAAAACAAAATGAGACTAAAGAGGCGCACCAGCCCAGGGGCAAGGACTAGAAGGCAGGAAGGGACAGGAAAGCTGGTAATAGGGAACCCAAAGTTGAGAAGGGAGAGTGTTGACATGCCATGGGTTTGTTAACCAATGTCATAAAACAATATGTGTACTAACTATTTAATGAGAAGCTAGTTTGTTCTGTAAACAATCTAAAGTTCAATAATAATAATAAAAAAAAAAGTTGCACGGACAACCACTGCTACCCTTTCTGTTGTTGTTGTTGTATGCTGTCGAGTGGATTCCGACTCACAGTGACCCCATATGTTACAGAGTAGAACTGCCCCATAGGTTTTCTAGGCTGTAATCTTTACAGAGGATCCTTGGTGGCACAGTGGTTCAGAGCTCGGCTGCTAACTGAAAGGTTGGTGGTTAGAACCCATCATCCCCTCCTTGGGAGAAAGGTGTGGCGGTCTGCTTCTGTAAAGATTGCAGCCTTGGAAACCCTATGGGGCAGTTCTACTCTGTCATATGGGGCCACTGGGTTGGAATTGACTCAATGGCATACAACAATGTACTGTGGATGTAATCCCATTTGTGAGTAGGATTTTCTTTGTTATGTTAATGAGACCATGTCAGTGTACAGTGTATCTTAAACTACTCGATTTTGAGTTATAAAAAGAGCAGATTAGGCACAGAGAAGCAAACACAAAAAGATCTTCATGCCACATGGAGATCACCAAGGAATCAAGGCACACAGGCATCACAGAAACTGAAAGATCTTCCCCCAGAGACGACAGAGAGAGTCTTCCCTAGAAATGGTGCCCTGAATTTGGACTTCTTGCCTCCTGAAATGTGAGAAAATATATTTCTGTTCTTTAAAACAACAACAACAGCAAAATCGTAAACCTTAGAATATCCTGGAAGTCTCAGGGGAAAATATTTCCATTAGAAAGCTATTCACTACCTGCCCACGAAGCCTGTTGTATTGTTAGAGTTTTGGCCATGTTCAATGTGGAATCCAGAATCTTCTGTCCTAACTCCAGCTCTATACCTTGGGCATATTTTTACATATTTGCAGATATCTGAAGACAATCTGTAAAATGTTCACTACAATTTCTAACACAAGAGCAAGATGCCTCCTCTGATTTCTCTAAGAGAGCTTTCAAAGCCAAATGACAATGGGGAGGTGAAGTAATAGGACTGGTAACCACAAGAAGTGGTATAAACTGGAAGTAGGATTGAAGTGAGAGATGCCTGGGTTGAGACCCTGTTGACAAATGGGCTGAAGGCATTAAAGACACTAGGAATGCTGGGGTTGATTTGTCTATGAAAGGGACATCATACAAGACACCCTAGCCTCAGCTGATATCCCCCAGTGTTGTGGATTGAATTGTGTCCCCCAAGAATGTCTGTCAACTTGGCTAGGCCATGAGTCCCAGTATTGTATAGTTGTCCTTCACTTTATGATCTGATGTAATTATCCTATGTGATGTAAACCCTAACCTCTATGACATTAATGATGCAGGATTACAGGCAGCTATGTTAATGAGGCAGGACATAATCTACAGGATTAGGTTGTATCTTGAGTCAATTTCTTTTCAGATATAAATGAGAGAAGCAAGCAGAGAGGAGAGGGTACTCCTACCCCCAAGAAAGAAGAATGCATCCTTTGGACCTGGGGTCCCTGAGCTGAGAAACTCCTAGACCCAGGAGAAGATTGATGACAAGGACCTCTCCTCAGAGCCTACAGAGAGAGAAAGGCTTCCCCTGGAGCTGATGCCCTGAATTCAGACTTCCAGCCTCCTAAACTGAGAGAGAATGAATTTCTGTTTGTTAAAGCCATCTATTTGTGGTATTTCTGTTATAGCAGCACTAGATAACTAAGACACCCAGGTTCCCTAATAAGAAGCACCATCATGACTGGGGGTAATAGGCTGCCCTTATTGTAGAGGCATATTCATTAGAAGACTTTTCACCAGATCTCAGCCATCCCTGTGGGCTGTTCTCACTCCCATGCATGTTCAGTTTCCCAGTGATTCTATGGGTAGAATTCCATTCTTGCTCTCTTTTCCCTCCTTTCCATAGTTCTGGTTACCTGGAGCAGCCTGAGCCAGGACCACAGTGACAGCTAAGGCCAGGAACAGGAGTTTAATGTCTCTTGAGAGGAGTGAGGAATAAGCTGGCAACATACCGAATGTACAGAGAAGGTGGGTCTGCTGTCTAGGTTTTATTGACCTAAGTAGGGCTGAGTCACGGACAACAAATCAGACAAGGGCAGAATGTTGCACTACCCAGAACATCAGCCTGCAGGACAGCAGTGTAAATTGATCACCCAATGTTCAGTGTCCTGCTCTAGACAGTCTCTGGAGAGGTGGAAGGCATCAGGGTAGGAGGTGCAAGTCCTACACAAGTATGGGGCATTGTGGAGAGATTGGACCCATTTTCCAAGAAACCTTTCCTACTTCTGTCCTTGGATAGTTCAATCCCCTCACCTATGTTTCCACAGCCTCTCTGCTTCCTTCTCTCTGTCCTAATGTTTATCATGATGTTTTGGGACTAAGTGTCTTCTCTAGTTTATCCCTCCCACCCCTCTGTCAGATTGACACCATCAAGGGCAACTTTCAGCAGCCTAGATGAGGTTCAGGACATCTGTTTTGCCCTTAGGGTCTGGGCAGGACCTTCAGTGAGCACGACTGCCATCCACTGAACTTCACTGTCAGCAACTGTGCTAAGCACTTGACGTACAAGACCTTACAGAATCCTCACAAGATCCCTGATAGGTACATAGAATTGTCTCAGGGTTACACAGTGCTTTGGGAGGGAGGTCTGGATTTAGACCTGGCTTAATAATAAAAGACCAAGGATCTTTTATTATCTATGTAGTGTAAGAGTTAAGAGCATCAGAGTCAGAAAAAAACTTAGGTTGGAATCCTGATTCTGCTAATTACTAGCTGTATGACTTGGAGAAAGTTATTTAAAATTTCAGAGGTTCCATTATCTTAACTATAAATTAGAAACTGTAATATTTATTCCTTGAATTAACAAGGGTTTTGTAGAATTAGGTGATTTTTTTTGAAAATAGTACTTTGTACAGTGTAGGCATGTAGAATAAATTTACAAAAAAAGTAGAATAGAGTACATGTTCTATTGTCCCAGGGGATTATACCTGAGGAACGATTGAGGCAGGAATGGGCTGAAGAGAGTCATGGTTGCTATCTTCATATATCTGAAAGGCATGTTCTGTGCAGGCCCAGAGGGCAGAACTAAAAGTCCTGGGTGGAAATTGCAGTGTGGTGAGGAAGTAGGTTTAAACTCATCAGAAAAATCTTCTATACAGAATTCTTTATCTGTTCTAGATGCTACTCCTTTGTCAGATATGTGGTTTGCAAATATTTTCTCCTAATGTGTGACTTGTCTTTCCATCCTCATAAAAGTGTCTTTTACAGAGAAAAGGTTTCAGTTTAGATGAAGTCCAATTTGTCAGTTTTTCCATTTATGAATCATGCTTCTGGTGTCAAGTCTAAGCTTAGCCCTTGATCTCAGAGATTTTGTCCTATCTTTTCCCAAAGGATTTATAGTTTTGCATTTTTTTAATTTAAGTCTGTGATCAGTTTGGAGTTAACTTTTGCATAAGGTGTGAGACTTAGTTCAAGATTTTTTATTTTTGTATTTTTGCCTATTGATGTTCACTTGCTTAAGCACCGTTTGTTGAAAAGGCTATCTTTCCTCCATTAAATTGTATTTGTGCCTTCGTCGGCATTCAGTTGAACGTATCTGTGTGGGTATATTTCTGGGTTCTATATTCTGTTCCATTCGTCTGTGTTTCTGTCACTCCACCAATACCACATAGTCTTGTTTACTGTAGCTATGTAGTAAGTATTTATTTTACTTTGGAACAATTGTAAATGCTATTGTGTTTTTAATTTTGGTTTCCATATGTTTATTGTTAGTATATAAAATGTGATTTATTTTTGTGTAATGACCCTGATGAACTCATTAGTTTGGAGGTTTTTTTAAATTGTGCTTTAAGTGAAAGTTAACAGTTTAAATCAGTTTCTTATACAAAAATTTATACACACTTTGCTATGTGACCCTAGCTGCTCTCCCTATAATGTGACAACACACTCCTCCTTTCCACCCCAGATTTCCCGTGTCCTTTCAACCAGCCCCTGTCCCTTTTCACCTTCTCATCTTGCCGCCAGACAGGAGCTCCCATTTAGTCTCATGTATCTACTTGAGCTAAGAAGCACTCTCTTCACAAGTATCATTTTATGTCACATAGTCCAGTCTAATCTTTGTCTGAAGAGTTGGCTTTGGGAATGGTTTCAGTTCTGGGCTAACGGATAATCTGGGGGCCATGTCTTTCGGGGTCCCTCCAGTCTCAGTCAGACCATTAAGTCTGGTCTTTTACTAGAATTTGAGTTCTGCACCCCACTTTTCTCCTGCTCCATCAGGGACTCTCTGTTGTGTTCCCTGTCAGGGCGGTCATTGGTGGTAGATGAGCAGTGTGGAGTATTTTTGAAGATTCCTTGGGATTTTCTATGTAGCCAATCATGTCATTTGCAAAAAGAGACAGTATTATTTCTTCTTTTCTAATGTTTTTATTTTCATCAATTTTATTTTCTGTCTTAGTGTGCTGGCCATGACTTCCAGTACTATGTTGAGTAAAGATGGTAAGAGCAAACATTCTTATCTTGTTCCTGACCTTAGGGGGAAAGCCCTTAGTCTTTCATCATTAAGTATGATATTGTTGTTGTTGGTTGCCCTAGAATTTATTCAGACTCATGATGACCCCAAGTGTGCAAAGTAGAATTGCTCCATAGGGTTTTCAAGGTTGTGACCTTCTAGAAGCAGATCACCAGACCTTACTGCCGAGACACCTCTGAGTGGGCTTGAACAGCCAATCTTTCTGTTGGTAATCAAGTGCTTAATGATTTGCACCACCTAGAGACTCCTTAAGTATGATGTTACAAAAAATCAAACCAAACTCGTTGCAGTAGAGTCAATTCCGACTCATACTGACCCTATACGACAGAGTAGAACTGCCCCATATGGTTTCCAAGGCTGTAATCTGCCACATCTTTCTCCCGACGAGCTACTGGTGGGTTTGAACCACTGACATTTCCATTAACAGGCGAGTGCTTAACCACTGCTCCACCAGGGCTCCTTAAGTATGATGTTAGCTTTAGATTTTTTTTGTTAGCTTTAAATCTTTAAAGATGTGAACTTTAGATCTTTATTAAGTTGAGAAAGCTGTCTTTTATTACTAGTTTGCTAAGAGTTTTGTGATTAATGGGTGATGAATTTCATCAAATGATTTTTCAAAGTCAATTTATATGATTGTATGATTTTTCTTCTTTAGCCTGTTGTTTAGCCTGTTGAAGGCAACCACTGTTACAATTATTTCCATTATAGTTTAATTTCACCTGTTCTAGAGCCCCATATAAATGGAACAACTGTCATAACACTCCATTCCCCATAATGAGCAGTTACAGGCATAACCTACATGGTAGTATGATGTGATGGTGGAGCACAGGTACTCTTTGCATTGGTTAAAATCCTTGCCTTACTATTTATCAGTTGTGCAACTACATGAGTTACTTGATTTCTCTTTGCTTCAGCAACCTTATCTTTTAGCTGGTATAAAATGGTATCCAATTATGGGTTTGTTGCAAAGGATTAAATGAGATGAAGAATGTGGACAACTTGGCGCATACTTAGCAAATGGTAAATGCTCAAAACTATAAGCTATAAGTATAAATTTTTAAAACAGCCTGTATAGGTAATGTATAGGTATTTTCATCTGACTCACTATTTGTCATAGTTTGAATTATGTCCCCCCAAAAATGTGTGTATCAATTTGGCTAGGCCATGATTCCTGGTACTGTGTGATTTTCCTGTATGTTGTAAACCTGCCTCTATGATGTTAATGAGGGAGTATGGGTGGCAGCTGTGTTAGTAAGGCAGCACCTGATCTACAAGACTGGATTGTGTCCTGAGGCAATCTCTTGAGATATAAAAGACAGAAGTGAGCAGTGAGACAGGGGGACCTCATACCATCAAGAAAGCAGTGCCGGGAGCAGAGCGCATCCTTTGGACCAGGGTCGCTGCACAGAGACGCTCCTAGTCTGGCGGAACACTGAAGAGAAGAAGGCCGACAGAGAGAAAAAGACGTCCCCTGGAGCTGATGCCCTGAATTTGGACTTTCAGCCTACTTTGACTGTGAGGAAATAAACTTCTCTTCATTAAAACCATCCACTTGTGATATTTCTGTTACAGCAGCACTCGATGACTAAGACACTATTAATAAGGAAATTTAAAGTTCCAGTTCTTTCCATATATTCTGAAACATTTGGTGTTGGGTTGCATAAAACTAAAATGCAGGGATTCATGTAGCATCACAAGAACGGGGAAAGTAAGAAATATATGTTTTCCTGTTCATGTCCTAAACACAGAGGCACCCTAATGCAACCTAGAATAAATGATAACGCAAAGTGCCTCCATAATTCCTTTTTTCAAAATGTGAAAATAAAGTTGTGAAGAAGTGAAAGCATGCTTCACTAGGAGAAAAAGGAAGAGATTCCTATCTAAGGTTGTCTTCGCTCAAGACCACCAAATCCTCAGACTCCAAATGGCTTATCCCCAAACACTCTTAACTACTTACTGATCTTCCTAGAGGGCAGGTGCATATCTAGAGAAGGTCAGAATAGGAACGTACATAAAAATGCTACTTTCATGACACGTGCACAGCATTCAGCAGTGTGACTCTTTCTCAGAACCCTGTGGTAACTTCTGTACAGCTTCTGCTGTTATCATAGCTTCTTTCTGTTTTTTTCCCCTTATCTGGGCAGATCATTTTTTTTCCATTGGAATGAAGCAGTCTTGCTTCATGCTCTCTAACTGTATGACCTTGAGCATAATAGTTTACTTTTGGGCAAACTATTTTCCTTCTTAAGGACTTAATATGCTCATTTGTAAAGTGAAGAGTTGAGACTAGGTTGTCTCACTGACTCAGGCACCTGACCTGGATCCCATTAGCCTTATCTCTGCCCTTGGCTGGGCCTCAGTTTCCCCATCTATAAAGTGGAGGTTGGAGCCCTTGGTGCAAACAGTTAACACTCTCAGCTGCTAACCAAAAGGTTGGAAGTTCGAGTCCACCCAGAGGCTCCTCAGAAGAAAGGCCTGGGGACCTACTTTTGAAAAATCAGCCATCGAAAACCCTGTGGAACACACGTCTTCTCTGGCACACACATGGGGTCGACATGAATCAGAATCTACTCAATAGCAACTGGTTGGTTGTTGATTGGTTAAAGTGGAGGTTAGGCTGGGGTCATAGATGATAAAAAAGCCAACTCTCTTGGGAAGGATTCTGAAATTATGATCATGTTCAATGAGAAAGAATTCTGTGAGTAAATATGGAGTCCTGGGGGCACAGTGGTTAAAATCTCAGGCTGCTAACCAAAAGGTTGGCAGTTCGAATCCACCAAGCCCTCCTTGGAAACCCTATGGGGCAGTTCTACTCTGCCCTATAAAGTCACTCAACGGCACGGGTGCTTGTGCAGCCACTTTAAGGAGCCCTGATGGTGCATTGGTTAAAGCGATCAGCTGTTAACCAAAAGGTTGGCAATTCGAAACCACAAGTGGCTCTGTGGGAGAAAGATGTGGCAGTCTGCTTCCATTGAGATTTACAACTTTGGAAACTCTATTGGGTCACTATGAGTCGGAATCGACTTGACAGCAGTGGGGTTTTTTATATATAAATTATATATATATGTATGTATACGTATATCAGGATAAAAACATTTTTATTAAACACTTAATATGTGCCTCGGATCTGATCTGAGTGCAGAGTGAGAGACATAGATAATACAGGCTAGTGAGGATGAGTGATAAGATTAAAAATTTTCAGTTCAAAATACAAAAATTTCTCATAGAGAGAAGTGGATCGATAGTAAAACAGATCCAACCTGTACAGCCCTGAAATCTATTTTACAACTGATTCTATTTTTCTTGACCCTGAGCCTTTATTTCCATAGAAATTTTCAAGTATAATCAGTCATTTCCATTGATTTTGCCGGAAGAGTGTACATTAAGAATTTGTTTCTCAGTGACAAAGAATTTAACAAACACCGCATAGACCTTCTCTCTCTCTCTCAGCGTATCCTTATATACCCTTACTCCACCTCAGCTACCCCCAGTCCCACACACTTACCACTGACAGGGCAGAGAATGTGTGCACTAAGACAACCAGATGCGCAGGAGTGGGGGTGTCTTGGTCATCTAGTGCTGCTATGACAGAAATACCACAAGTGGATGGCTTTAACAAAGAGAAATTTATTCTCTCAAAATCTAGTAGGCTACAAGTCCAAATTCAGGGCATCAGCTCCAGGGGACGACTTTCTCTGTTGGCTCTGGAGGAAGGTCCTTGTCATCAATCTTCCCCTGGACTAGGAGCTTCTCCTTACAGTAACCCAGGCTCCAAAGGACCCGCTTTGCTCCTGGCGCTGCTTTCTTGGTTGATGTGAGGTTCCCAACTCTCTGTTTGCTTCCCTTTCCTTTTATCTCTTGTAAGATAAAAGGTGGTGCAGGCCACACCCCAGGGAAACTCCCTTTACACTGGATCAGGGATGTGGCTTGAGCAAGAGTGTTACATCCCACCTTAACCCTTTTTAACCACAAGCAGAGATTATAATTTATAACACCTAGGAAAATCACAAAATGGAGGACAACCACACAGTACTGGGAATCATGGCCTAACTAAGTTGACACATATTTTTTGGGGGCACAATTCAGTCCATGACAGGCGTATCCTTCTCTGTCTTGCCTGAGCTAGACCATGGAAGGTACTGTGGCCATTGTTCTTTGCAACTCTTCTCATTAGAATGGGTGGTATCTAACACTATCTCACTTAGGTAACGCTTGGGTGGTCCTGGGCACTCACACGTCTCCATGCATTTTCCTGACACCTTGATTCTATTGTAACTAAGTGACACCCTCTTTATGAACTCTGGCTTTGGCGGTTCACCTTGCATCTCTCTACTACAGAGTGACTTTTCTCATCTCCATGGAAATTTCTTAATGAAGTTCTTGGCTTTCCCTTATCTGCCTTCTACTTCCTCGACCCACACAGATGGGAAACTTTTGGATTCCTTGCACCTCAAAGAAAACTCAGCAACACTATACATGTATGGGGGAAATTCTCTACCCTCTCTTGCTAAGGTACACCATTCTGTCATCTTGTCAATATTTATGTGCTTCCCTCAGTATGCAGCGGTGTTACACACATCTGAGGAATATAACTCAGCAGACATCTCCAGCAGATGAAGTGCTGAGCACCACTGCTGGGCAATTCCACAAATCTCTCTCGTATTCCTTTGCTTTGGCAGGGAGTCTCAATTCTACACCGTACCTCACTCTCTCTGCTCCTTTTAAAAAGTTTTCTCTCTATATATGTTTTGCTTCTTGGGAGGGTTGGAGGGAGTTAATGGGAAAGTGGAATGGGGTAAGGAAGAGCATCAATAAGACCTCTTTTCTTATTTTTTACTCCCCATTCCAAAATTTCTTCTGTCTCATAATCTATGGAGTCTTACAAGTTTAGCCAATAAGTTGTTTCACAGAGATTAGTATTAGGGTGATCACTCAGAAGGAAAGAAGAATCCTCTACTGGATGTCACAAGCTATTGGTCTGCTACAAGTGGGGTCTTTACAACCCATTCTGCTATCTTTGGGTATGTATGAGGTGCTGCATAAGCTCAGAGAAATAAATGATCCATCTAGGGTTAAAGAAAACTCCCTTTTGAGCATTCTTTCTTTCCATTGATCCATCTTTCCACTTCTACAAGAGTATAGCTCATCTGATAAGGCCTCAGTTTTCTCTAACAGTTGCTACAACAGGGCATTGTTGCATTGTGTACACTCAATGCTACAAATTAATGGTCTGGTGTTCTGTGTAGCATGGCATTCTCCCCCTCTCTGGTTCATCACCCATGACAGACCAATAAAGGCGACCACTTAGAGTCCTAGTGTGCAAAGTGTTCTGGACTCCTCAGGACACAGAGCCTTCTCCCTCCTAGGAGCCATGAATCTCCTGATGCTGGCCTTCACTATCTGTGGGTCTCTAACTCTGGTGGCCAAAGGTAATGGAACCCTAGAAATTAGGGATGATGGAATTACTATGAGTTGTTGCCTTTGGGCTCTCTAGGTATCTGGAGGGAAAAGAAAGCCCACAGGAATAGCTTTAAATCAACAACCAACACTAATAACTAGTTACCATCGAGTAGACTCCAACTCCTGGCAACCCCATGTGTGTCAGAGCAGAAGTGTGCTCCACAGAGTTTTCAATGGCTGATTTTTCTTCAGAAGTAGATTGCCAGGCCTTTCTTCCACAGCACCTCTGGGTGGATTTAAACCTCCAAGTTTTGGTTAGTAGACAAGAATATTAACTCTTTGCATGACCCAGGGACTCCCTAAGCCAATGAAGAGCAGCAAAAATATTCTCATTTGGACAGTTTCATACCCCAACTTTCTGAGAATCTATTACGAGCGCTAAACAAACTGGGATATACTCTGAGACATTTCTCCAAAAGTAAGAATTTATTCAATGCCTTGAGTATCACTGTATATACATACATATATATATAGAGAGAGAGAGCACTAATCCATCTGTCACCCAGCAATTCAGCCCAGCTCTGCCTCATTTCATTTCTGTTTTAACTAGTACCACCTATTTCATTGTTGTGTCCTATTGGTTCAACTCTTGCTATCAGCTGGAATTCCTCTTTGCCCCTCTTCTCATGTTCTGGGTATAATGAACCAGTCCATTGACACTGTTTGTAGATTCTGCTGAGCTCTGAGATGGAAGAGAGAACATATAAGTTTGGGGTAGAGGTGAGGATAAACGGAGTGAAGGCAGGATAGAAGACCAGTGACCACCGGAGAGTTTCCAATTTCAGATCAACATGAATACCACTGTTCCCTCTTTTAAATAATGCCACTTAGAAAATTATCTACTTTTTTACGGAAAAATAATACTTGCAACTGATTTTAAAAATCAAGCAATTGATAGGTTTATAAGGGTTTAAGGAAAAATAAAGCACTCTCCTACCCAAATATACCAGTTCTTCAGTCTTCCCCTTCAGAATCAATCACTATTACCAATTTCTCATACATTCTAGGAGAAACATAAATATATATATGTATATGTACATATACATATATGTTTCTGCTAGGATATACAAGATCTATCTATCTACCTTTTAGAGTTTCAAAAATTCTAATGTAAACAAACCATATGGATTGTTCTGCAATGTGCACTAACAATGTATCTTGGAGTCTTCTTAAGCAGTCCAGTTGCCATTGAGTTGGCTCTGACTCATGGCGATTCCATGAGTGTCAGAGCAGAACTGTGCTCCATAGGATTTTCAGTGGTTGATTTTTCAGAAGTAAATCACCAGGTCTTTCTTCTGAGATGCCTTGGGTGGACTTGATCCTCCATCCTTTCAGTTAGCAGCTAAGCTCATTAATCGTTTGCCCCCTGCCCCCTAGAGATTTAACAACATATACATTTACTTTATTTTTTAAAATTGATACATAGAACTTTGGAGAGTGACTCTAGTTACTTTATTTAATTGGTCCATAAATGCTGGACAACCAGTCTTTAATTATTTAATCTATCTGGAGTTTATTTTTGTGTGTTTTAAGGAGAGATGGCATCTGATAGGTTTGTTAAGCAACTTGGAAACCCTCCCTGGCTGCATATTGTCCTCTCACAACTTCTTGATTTCTGTACTCTTCTTCACAGCTAACACTTCTTAAGATTTTTGTCTACAGGTGTACTTCCACTTTTATCATTCACATTTTTAAGCAACTTCAGTTCAGTTCCTTCTCTTCCTACCACTCTGAAACTGCTCTTCTGAAGGTTACCAGTAACATTTCTACTACTAAACACAACAGACACTTTTCTGCCCTTATCTTATTCAACCTGTCAGCAATATTTGACTACAAATGACCACTCCTGCCTTCAAGAAACATTCTCCTATCTTAGTTAATCTAATCAGATCTGAGATGATTTTTCGTTTATCTTTTTGGCACTTGCCTTTCTCATGCACTCTAAACTGGCCTGCAACTGGCAGTATCCTGAATGCTTTCTTGCTTCCCTGTCTTACTTCCCAATTTCTCCACCGATATTTTTTGGGGATTGCCTCTCAACTAAACCATTATAGTCAAATTCTTGTTCAAGGCCTGCTTTTGAGGGAACTCAAACTAAAATTCTAGTGTCTCATTCTCTTGTTCTGGTCCTACATACACAGTTGCTCCTTTTTAGAGTTTTCTTCTATCTGAACTCTAAATATTGACACTAGAATTTAATTCTGGCCCTCTTTTTTTTCATTTTATTCTAACTCACTGTGATGGTTAAGGTTGTGTGTTAACTTGGCTGGGCCATGGTTCTCAGTGGTTTGGCAGTTATGATGTGGTTTGGCGGTCGTATGATGTTGTGATCTCTTCCATGATGAGATTTGATATAATGTGATCAAGTCCATTATAGGATCCGCTGTAAATAGCCAATCAGTTGAAAAGGAGTTTTCTTGGGCCTGTGACCTGCATCAAATGCTACCTGGTCACTCTGGGCTCCTGATGTCTCTGGATCAACGGGCAAAGAAGGGAGTTACCATATTTACTGGAGTGATTGATCCTGATTACCAAGAGGAAATAGAAATAATATTACATAACGGAGGTAAAGAAGACTATGTCTGGAATGCAGGAGATCCCTTAGGGCGTCTCTTAGTCTTAACATGCCCTGTGATTAAAGTCAATGTAAAACTACAGCAACCCAATTCCAACATGACTGCTAATGGCCCAGACCCTTCAGGAATGAAGGTTTGGGTCACCCCACCAGGCAAAGAACCACAACCTGCTGAGGTGCTTGCTGAGGGCAAAGGGAATATGGAATGAACGGTGGAAGAAGGTAGTTCTAAATACCAGTTACAACCACGTGACCTGTTGCAGAAATGAGGACGGTAGTTGTTATGAGTACTTCTGCTTGGTATGTGTTCATCAAATATTTTTGTTTTCTTCACTTATAAAATATAAGATGCAAACAGGGCTGGTGCATTTTCAGTTGTATAAGTGTTGTATCACGTTAGGTGCAAGTATGACTTTCCAATTGCCTTTATTCAGAGATTGTGTATGGTGTCAGTAGATGTGTACAGGTGCCAAGTTGACAAGGGGTGGACTGTGATGGCTAACATTGTGTGTTAACTTGACTGGGCCATGATTCTCAGTGGTTTGGCAGTTATGATGTAGTTTGGCAGTCATATGATGTTGTGATCATTTCCATGATGAGATTTGATATAATGTGATCACCTCCATGATGGGATCTGCTGTGAGTAGCTAGTTAGTTGAAAGGAAGTTTTCTTGAGCCTGTGGCCTATATCTAATACAAGTGGACATTCTGGCAAGGCTCGTGGGCTCTTGCTTGCTCTGGATCCTGCAGCTGGCTTCTGTTCTTCTGACCTCTGGTTTTTGGAACTTGAGCTAGCAGCTTACCTGTGGTCTTGCCTGCCGATCTTAGGATTGGTCAATCTTCGCAGCTTGTGAGCAAGAGCCCTGCTGTCTGACCTGCTGAACTTGGGTTCACCAGCCGCTGTGGCTACGTGAATCAGGAGAAGCCTCTATCCTGACCCATGGACTCGGGACGTTCCAGCTTCTACAACCGTGTGAGCCATTTCTTTGATATAAATCTCTCTCTATATATATTTATACGTTTCACTGGTTTTGCCTCTCTAGAGACCCAGCCTAAGACACCCACAATGCCTTAGCTATTTCTGTGGCTTTAAATACTATTCATAAACAATGATTCCAAAACTTACATATCTAAAGTCTAAACTTCTCTTCGGAGATCCCATAGATATATTCAGCTGCCTTCTTGACATCTTTACTCAGCTGTTTCCTAAAAGTATTATATGTTATATGTCACAAAGCAAATATTTGAGCTCATCTTTTTCTTCTCCCCCAAATCTTACTCTTTCTTCAGTTTTCACTACTCTGTAAATGGGAAACATCACTAACTTAAAAGAAAAAACAAAACAAAACAAAAAACACCAGAGAGTTAATGTCCAATTTCACTAGGAGCAATTCCATCAGGAGTTGGAAGATCACAAGGGTAGCTGTAATTGCTAATGCAAGGCCTTTCTTCCATAGCACCACTGTGTGGGTTCAAACTACCAACCTTCAGGTTAGTAATCAAGCACAAACTGTACCACCCAGGGACCTTACTACCTCTACCTGAATTCAGAAATCTTGTAGTTTACTTTGATTTCTCCATCTTCCTCTGATCTTATATCCAAACAATTGATGGCTTCTCCCAAATCTATCCTTTGGTTTCCACGGTAATGCTCACAGTTCTAGTTCCAATCACCGTCATGTATTACCTGGCAAAAGCCTCTAACATATCTCCCTGATTTCACTCTACCCTGTCCCTAATCTAATTTCCATATGGAATTCTGATTAACCTTCTAAAACATAAGTTAAGATGATGAGCTCACATTGTGTTTTTGGGGGGGGGGATGCTGGCCTAAAAGAGCTGGGAGACCCGTCCCTGCTACTTCATGCTTATCATATGTCGTGCTCCTTTCCTCTTTGCATATTATACTCCAGACTCATCAGCCTTCCTCAAGTCCCTTAAACACACTAGCAGCTTCTCAACTCTGGACTGAGCATTTTCTCCTTTTCCTGAAACAATCTTCACCTCCTGTGAACGTTGCTATCGCCTTTTCATCTTTCTTGCTTTGGCTTAAGTATCAGTTCTAAGTATGTCAGTCCTGTTTCTCTCTCTTCTCTCTCCCTTTTTCTCTCTTTCTCTCTCTCTCTCCTTTTCTCTCTCACTCCCATTTCCTTGATGGCACTTGTAACAATTTTTAATATGCAGTTTTGCTTTTCTTGTTTGTCTCTCTCAACGACCTGTAGAATTTGTTATTTCTTTAGACTAGATGGTAGTAATTGCCAAATTTTTGAATGAATAGAATATTTACTATATTGTTGCTAGAGTTACGGCTTGTCTGCTTGTTCATTCTCTACAGCTGGCTGGGAAATTCAAAGATGCTGGGAGAATGATATAGGACACTGCAGAAAACGATGTCTCCAAAATGAAAGATACAAACTTCTTTGTAAGAACAAGCTAACTTGCTGCATTCCCATAACAGCACAATCGTTTACTCGAAGGCCACCACCCCGTGCAATAGATACAGAAGACATAACAGTTACAATGGAAACTTATCCTCCTCTCACTATGGACGACTTTATTACTTTTAAAATTTCTTCCCCATCTCAGGCTAAAACGACCAAGAAAACTTCTTCTGAGAGCACTGTCCGTATCAGATAATTTACATGTTTCCTCTTGAATATGGGACACTAGAGATACCATTAGGAATAATATCCAGAGAGTTAATTTCACCGATGCAATTTCACTAGAAGCAATTCCATCAGGGGTTGAAAGATCACAGGGGTAGCCATAATTGCTAATGCAAGACAAGAGCCAAGACAGTTACCTTGCAATGAAAAATGTTTAGAGAAAAATGTATAGGAGATACAGGGGTTCTCCTTATGGGGCTTAACTTCTTTGCCTGTCTTCTTTTGATTTATTAAAATATATGGGCTAATTTTTGCTCTCAAGTGAACATTTGTGTGCTTATTTTTCCATGCAAAAAATGAAGGCCATTGCTTGGAGTTGTCTATTATGATTGAGACAAGGATTTTGATTTTAGTAATTCCTGACCCAACACTATCATATATAGAAGAATATATAGAGGCACAAACACAGAAAATTCCAGATAAGCCTCCCTCCTCCTCTGCTATTTGTAAGCTCTGATCTTAAACACTTTCTGTAACATAAGGTCAAATTTTGTTTAAGGCTTTAGCTAGAGATGAACCTAGTGGCCTCATTCATCCAGCACAAGCATTGATCTTACTGGATAGAGATAAAAGTGGGAATCACTTAGAGAGCACATCATATTAAATTAAAAGCTCCATCACAAGTTCTACTTATCTTTTCAATGTTCTCTCTCTCTCAAAAGTCCAACTCCCAGCTATGGTGGCCTCATAGCATCCCTTTTCAGAGCTCCATGTTATCCATGAATGCTAATCATATCTAGTGTATCTGTGCTTTGCGACTGTATGCATGCGAGTGCTGTTCGTATGGCAATAGATGGGGTCAGCGATTTTCCTGTCTGGTACCACGGAGAAGTAGTTATTATTAAGTATAAGGATGATTAGTTATTAATGTATTGGGCTAAATCTGCAACCTCCAATGCCTAAATGTCTCAGAAGCAAGGTCATTTATTCCTCTAAATCTTTTTTAGTGATCCACATAAAGCTTCCAGTGATCATGGCTATACTTTGGATATGGAACAATCAGACTACTGGCTTTTAGTAGATCTCATATTCCAGTTAAGTTTACCTGGGAAAAAGGGGCCTCCCGGGACATTAGATTCTGAATGCTAAAGTTGAGAAAGTCCTGGGCGAACAGGGACAAGTTGATCACCCTTCCTCCAGTGTCCCTCTGCCTATAATGCTCTTCTTCTATTTCTTTGCACGGCTGACACCTCATTATGCAGATCGTATGTTAACTCTTCACGAAGGCATTCTTTGACCATACAGCCCTCCCTATACTACCTGCCTGTGTCAGCTCCAGGTGTTCTCATATGTCACCTCCTTAGAAGTCATCTTTGACCATGCAGACCATTCCTCACTCTACTTTGTATTATTTTCTTCTTAACACTTAAATTATTTGAAATTATTTTTCATATTTATTTTTCTGCCATCTGAATTATTTATTTGTGGTCTGTCACTGCCATTGTAATGTACATGTAATCCTTATCTCTTGATCTTGTTCCTGTGTCCCAAGCTGCTAGACTAGTGTCTTCGATGCTCAACAAAAATTCGAGAACAAATTTTTCTTGCAATTATCGCAATAAATCTGGGAAAGTTACACAATATAAAGCTGCAGTTTTCAAACTGAGATACCGGTTACAGAAAGAATTTCGAAGGTAGGTGCATAGTTAGTTTAAGGAAATTCATTTTCAGACCCTCAGTTTCTTTCTCATGATGCTTTGGAGCATTCTTAACAAATTCTTCTTTCCTCCACTTTCACAATTTCCCTTCTCCCACTCTGAAAAGAAAACTTACCTCTCACGCATCCCTTATCTGACAATCATGGATTGTCCAGCATGGAAAAACCTCCAGGTGCCAAATAGTGGACAGCTGAAATATTTGTACTGGTGTTGAGAAAGTGAGTAAAGATAGACTTTGGATCCCCTCAAGTGATTTCAATTTTCTGTTTACAAAAGCAATAATGGAGGATGTGTGGAGAATCAAGTTGATGGTGGATAAAACATTAAATAAAAAAGCTTTAATTATAACTTAATAGGAGATTCTTGGCATATAATTTGCAAGAAGTTTAAAGAACCCTGTGATCAGCCTATATCTATCTATTTGGCCATCTATCTACCTATCATCTATATATCCTATCTTACACCTTCTTCATCAATTTATTTATGTGACTAAGTTTCTCAGCACTTACATTTTTAAAAATAAAAAATGACCAGAAAATTGATGCTGAACCTCATCTTATTCCAGTAATAAATAATATTCCACCATATATACATGAATTATGCATATGTTTTCATTAACAATGAATTATATATATATTTATTAACAGGATGTATTTATAGTAAAAAGGTTACTTTTATGCATTAATAATTATTTTTCATATTTTATGTAGTTTTGATCAATTTTGTTCCAAATAATTACAATGATGACTCAATCTTGAATGTTTTTAAACATTTAAAGCCTTATGTTCATAGAGATTTCACAATAAAAATTATAATATATCTCCATGTTGTGTTGCAGAGAAACGTGATAGAATGAACAAGAATAGATTTTCAAACATAAAAATACATAATATTAAGATACAACTTTGTACAGAGTGGAATAAAAATAAAAATTCAAGGAGAAAAAATAATGTAATATTTCCAATTGCTAAAGAATTCATTGGGAATATTTAATCAATTGCTAAAGAATCCACTGGATACATTTACTCTAATTTTTACATGTCAATATTTACAGTACACCAGTAATAATCTTTTACCAGTATTTAAGTTTATGATGAGATATTTATTTCTCAACTTTAAGTTTTGTTAGGAGAAACATAGTTTTTCAAAAGTCAAAGAAGTTTGAAATTTGAAGACGACACCTAAAGCTGATACATTATTGTAGTTGCTGTTGAATCTGCTGCAAAACCTTTTTAAAGTGTTAAAAAGCAAAGATGTCACTTTGAGAACTAAGATTTACCTGACCCAAGCCATAGTATTTTCAGTTGCCTCATATGCATGCAGAAACTGGACAATAAATAAGGAAGACTGAAGAAGAACTGACGCATTTGAATTATGGTATTGGTGAAGAACATTGAATATAACATGGACTTCCAGAAGATCGAACAAATCTGTCTTGGAACTGCTGGTTATGCAGTTACCACTCAATTTGAATTAATTAAAAAGGGGGCACTCCCATAAATTCAGATCTGCTCAACAAGGAGAACTCCATGCCCTCAGCTGAACCTGCCAATTATTCCGAAGACAGTCCATGAATGTTTTCACAGACAGCAGATATGCTTTTGGAGTAGTTCATGATATATTTTGTTTTAGTATTACCTTAGGGGATTATGTTAATTTACAAACTCCTCATGCTGTCCAAAGTCTCCTTAACTCTGAACTCACTCAACACTTCTCTTCCAGCAGACTAACTTCTTATGAGACCTTCTACTCTCTCCGTCTAATTTACATCTCAAGCATTGTAATGTTCTCAGTCAGCTACTTTGCTGCCTTTACCTGACAAAGGAGAACTATATGACTGTGAGCTGGTAACTTCACAAATAGTCACATCACTCCCTGACCTACAGGATGTTCTTTTAACAAATCTTGATTTGGTACTATTTATGGATAGATCTTACAGCAAAAACCAGGAGAGTAATTTTCAAGTTGGTTATGCAGTTACCACTCAATTTGAATTAATTGAAAGAGAAGAATTCCCGCAATGCAGATCTGCTCAACAAGCAGAACTTCATGCCTTCACCTGAACCTGCCAATTATCCAAAGGACAGTAGATATGCTTTTGGAATAGCTCATGGTTTTGGAATGTTATGGAAACTCAAAAGTTTCCTAACCACTACTGTTGTCCCCATTAAAAATGGAAAACAGGTCAATGACCTTCTTTCTGCCATTTTACTGTCTTCTAACAGAGGCTTACACAAGATGCTCTGAACCCGAATATCAAGGAAATGCACTCACCGACTTCCATGCAAAGGCAGAGAGCACTGAATCCCTTGCACCAATATCTTATTGAATGAATGCTGTAACAACCACAGTGTAGATAGCCCACTGCATTCTTTAATGCCATACCTTGCTTTCTGCAGTCCAAAATATTTGACCATAAAACAAGAGTCTGCCCAAGACTCCAAAAAGAGATACTGGACCCAAAATGGATGTAAATTTAATCCAAATTCTGAGTTCTGAGAAAGCCAAGATGGCCACTTGTACCCTAGAATCCTTAAAAGAACCTTTATTTCAAACTTTATGCTCAATTGCTCTTCCTGGCATTGATAAAATAACTCAAACAGTGATAGATATTGGTGGGGGGGGTTTCCAAAAAGCAGCCTGTGATGGTTAAGATTGTGTGTCAACTTGACTGGGCCATGATTCTCAGTGTTTTAATGTGATCACTCCCATGATTGAATATACTGTGAGTAGCCAGTCAGATGAAAGGGAGTCTCCTTGGGGGTGTGACCAGCATCTGAATATAAGCAGATGTTCTGGCTTTTTGCTCTCTCTGGATCCTGCGGCTGCCTCCTGTCATCTCATCTCCAGTTCCTGGGACTTGAGCTGTCAGCTTATCTGCCAAACCTGGGATTCGTTGATCTGCACAGCCTCTGAGCGGGACCCCTGTTGTCCAATCTGCCGATCTTAGGCTTGCCAGCTTCTGCAGCTGTGTGATTCGGGAGAGGCCTCTACCCTGATCCATGGACTTGGGACGTTGTAGCCTCTACAATTGTGTGAGCTGTTTCCTTGATATAAATCTCTCTCTATATATATATTTATACACTTTACTGGTTTTGCTTCTCTAGAGAACCCAGCCTAAGACACAGCCCAAGCAGTTTATAATCAATATTTGACTTGTCTCACTCATAATCTAGGAAAATCTATTCCAGTTGCTAGGGGATTTTCACCTCTCCCCTCATGCCCTTTTGAACATGTGCAATCAGGTTTATCCATCTCTCTCTGGCATGTTCTATGTTTTAGTCATTGTTTGCAAATTTTCTAGATGGGTTGA